GATGTAGAAGAAGATGTCGACGGGGAGGGTGGTGGGGATGCCGGTGGCGATGGTGGCGGGGATACTGGTGGTGGTGGCGGTGGCGGGGGAGGAGGTTGAGGTGGTGATGATGGTGGTGGTGGTGGTGGTGGTGATGGTGACAGTAGTGGGGGAGGCACCATTTCGGCAACAATAGCCGCATTGGTAGGATGTTGGCCTTCATCGCCTACAGCAACCTCAGCAGGGTATACGTTGCTTGTCGCTGTTGGACCATTCTCTGGCTGGGCTGGCGTATCCACATTGGCGTTTGCCAGTTCAGCAGGAGTAACAGGAGGGGGTAGATCCGCTGTGTCATGTTGTGTGGAGGGCTGATGTCGCCTGAAGTCAGAATTGGTGTTCGGGAGTGGGTGGTGGTCTGCTGCATGTGGTCGAGAGGAGGCTCTGTACGCCGAGTGTGCATCCGGCAGTGGGTGAGCGATAGCCCAGCGCACCATACGACAAAACCAGTTCGAGAGCCGTGTGACATGAGTGGGTAGTCGGCGCTGCCAGCCACGCACATATGTTGTCCAGCCTTTGGCCAGGACACTAGGGGGATGGCCCCTTAAAAGCATACGTCGCGTCAAGGAGGTCACTGCCACTTTGAAGTCGGTAGTATTATTACAAATATGTTCGAACCTCGTTAGTTGTCCTGTTAGTACACCTGCAGGCTGATGAGCTGGGATATTGGAGGACGCACTGGGATAACGTATGACAGGGAATGTCCAGGCCTCGGCCTTATCAAATACACCTATGCGAAGCGAGCCATCTGACCGCACTTGGATTCTTGCCCCAAGGAAAAAACATGAGCCATCTTGCTCAGTAGTGTCTTTCCACTCAAGCCCATACCGAGCAGGAGGGGGTGGGGATGTCTGCCAGGATAGAATGTCATCGATGAACCGATATGTGAATGCATGTGCTTGCGCCGCTCGCAGGTCTTGCTGACGAAGTTCATCAACGAATTGTGCTTCATCCCAATAGAGCGTAAGGTTGGCAATCTCTGGACCAACATTAGTGCCCATAGGAATACCGACCACTTGATGGCGGAGAGTGCCGTCCGTTGTATACAGATAAGTATTTGAGACCACAAACCGCAGATGCTGTTCAATTTGTTGTGCTGAAAGAGTGTCTGTGCTATTTGAAGTAACCCATTCCCCGCGACGAGGCCCTCCTACAGTCATGTACATCTCTCTTGGCCTTCTGTCCTGTGGGATCAGAGTCAGAGCATAGTCATGTGCTTCACGAACAACATTTAGGACATTATTGAGTATCCGGTCGTGCGGCAGGTTTGTGTACATTGTTGTAAAGTCCGCTGTGTGTGGCGTAGAACCTCGGAGGGACTGTGCATTCTTCTTGAGATCCAGAATGACTTCCTCAGCAGTTTGTACGATCCAGCAACGTCGCACACCACTTTCTCGGTAAAGCTCATTGTCCTTGCTGCGCAAAGATTTGATCACACCTTGAAGGGCATAGCTAAGTGAGCGAGAGGCCATTGTTGTACTTGCTAAGGGCTTGTGAGGGAGCCTGTTATGCAGGTCTGGGACGGAGAGTCGACGGGATGTTGAACGGGGGGCAGATTGGGAAAGATTGTTTCGTTGTGTGACTCCAAGAATTGGACGAAGAGCGGGTGGGGATTTATGTGCTTTGAGTGCAAAATAGAGATAAGGTAGGGTATCAGTATGTCGATAGCCCCAGTGATCATTGAAAAGCGCGTGCCGATCGAGGATGCTGGCCACAGACTCCGATGCTTGGTCGTAGGTGGAACTGTCAAGATGCTGTGATAACTTATATGCGTACCAGCGTTTGCAACAAATTGCCATATTGTGTGATGTTTTATCAACAGGTACAATGGCGAAGTGCTGTTGTAGCTGCTTCAGAGATGTATTGGCGTTTCGTGAGGCAGCCTGAGCAGGTACCTGGTACGAGGCTCTAGATAGATTCCGTTGGCATCTTGAAATGATTGCTGTGCGCCATCTTCGCAACTGAGCAAGATTATCGACAATCATTGGGTCATTGTTACGTGCTGATCTCATGGTTGCTATGAACTTAGCAATATACTCGTCCAGACCAAGTTTCAGTGCTTTTATCACATCTGCGGTATCAGCATTAAGGCGATACTTGGAGCCTTCAATGAAGAGGGCCCGCAGATGTGTGTCTTGTATAATAGAGTAGTCCACTGTGGCTACATGACTGTCAACAGTGTCTATACAGCACGGAAACGCTCGTCGACAAGGACAATCACTAGAGTTTGGAGGCGGCATATTTGGTGTTATGCTGAGTGCCACCTCTGTAAAATTACAAAACTGGACACGAATGGGCGGGACCATTTTGTCACAGATACGTATTTCTTTGGCCAGAGCAGGCCGCGGATGTAATTTTGCGACTTCTGGTAACCGAAGAACGCCCCGTAGTTGTGTAGTTCGAGCAACTTGATGCATGTGCACAATCTTAATGAAATTTGAGAACGGAGTCT